GGGGGGGGGGGGGGGGGTCCTTGGGTTATTCACCCACACAAAAGGGATATAAGTGCTTTGATCAACATACAGGGAGAGAAATTGTCACCAAAGATGTTACCTTTTGTGAGTCACAATCTTTCTTTGAACCTTCCTAGAATCCTCTTCAGGGGGAGAATTCCTCTGAAATAAATCCATTTGTCTCTGCTCCTATTGTTTCTTCTCCTCTTCCATCCTCTCCTCTTGCCCCTCAGTATTTTGATGGTCTTTGTCCTAACCCTTAAGCCCAAGATGATGAGTTTGCTCCTGCTCCCACTACTCAAGATGATGACGTAGCTCCTACTATAGAAGTTGACAAGACTGTTGGGAAGGAGATGAAAGTGTATTGGAGGAAAATGAAGAGAGGCCTCTGAAGCTGGCCAAGGTAATATCCCTATTATTTCTGACTCTGACTTGAATCTTCCTATTGCTTTGTGGAAACCCACTTGGTCTTGTACTCTTCACCCTATAAATAAGTTTGTCTCTTATTCTTATTTGTCCCTAGAAATTATCCCTTTGTTTCTGCCTTGCCTTCTATTTCCACTTCTTCCAGGTACTCTGAGGTAGTTGCTGACCCTAAATGGAGGGAAGCAATGGATGAAGAAATGAGAGCATTATTAAAGGCTGGTACTTAGGAAGTAGTGGATCTACCAGTTGGAAAGAGCACTGTTGGGTGTGCACTGTGAAACATTAGGCCGATGGATCAATGGAGAGATTTAAAGCAAGGTTGGTGGCAAAAGGGTTCACATAGGAGAACATTGACTATACAGAGACCTTTGCTCCAGTTGCCAAGTTGAACACCATAGGGGTATTACCATCTCTAGCAGCCAACTACAGTTGGGAATTGCACCAATTGGATGTCAAGAATGCTTTTTTGAATGGAGATCTTCAAGAGGAGGTTTATATGGATCCTCCACCAAAGTATAATATGAATGGAAAAGTATGCCGATTGAGGAGGGCTCTATATGTACTTAAGTAGTCTCCTAGGGCATGGTTTGAAAGATTGTGCAAGACAATGAAGACTGTGGGATACTATCAAAGCAGTGTTGATCACACACTATTCTATAGAAGAAATGAAGAGAAACTGATAGCATTGATTGTTTATGTGGATGACATGGTGGTGACAGGAAATGATCCAGAAGAGATTAGAAGACTTAAGAAGTTTTTGGCCTTTAAATTGAGATAAAGGACTTGGGACCTCTAAGGTACTTCCTGGGAATAGAGGTGGCTAGGTCTAAGGAAGGAATTTTTATTTGTCAAAGGAAGTATTCCTTAGACCTCCTAAAGGAGACAAAAAAAATTTGGTTGCAAACCTATTGAGACTCCTATCGAACAAAACCATGGATTGTGGTAAAAGGATGAGGACCTTTACCCAGACAAGGAAAGATATTAATGACTCGTGGGTAAACTTTTGTATCTATCCCTCACTAAACTCGACATTGTTTATGCTGTCCATGTCGTTAGTCAATTTATGCATGCTCCTCAAGTTGCACACATGAAGGCAGTGGAGAAAATACTAAGGTACTTGAAGACATGTCCTGGAAGAGGTTTGTTATTTAAGAAGCATGATAAACTTAATGTTGAAGCCTATATTGATGTTGATTGGGCTGGATCAGCTGGAGATAGGAGTTCTACAACCAAATATTGCACATTTATGGGTGGAAATCTTGTAACCTGGAGAAGCAAGAAACAAATTGTGGTGGTTTGGTCAAGTGCCGAAGCTGAATACTGGGCAATGTCACATGGAGTGGCTGAACTTCTTTGGCTTAGGATACTCCTAAAGGTACTGGGAATCACAATGTCAAGACCCTTGAAGCTCTATAATGACAACCAATCTGCAATAAATATTGCTAATAATCCAGTTCAGCATGATAGGACCAAACACATTGAGATTGATAGACACTTTGTGAGAGAAATGATTGTGTCTGGAGCGTTATGTATTCCTTACATGCTGTCTACAAGACAAGTTGCTGATGTATTAACTAAGGGACTTGCTAAAGCCAGATTTGGAGACTTGGTGTGCAAGCTGGGCATGATGGACATCTATGCTCAGCTTGAGGGGGAGTGTTGTGGGACTTGACAGTGTGGGCCTCGGCCCATTTGTGTTATGTCTTCCTATTTCTTGTTGGGCTATACTTCTGTTATTAAGTGTTAATGGGGGGTAAAGTTGTAATCTTATGTGTTTTAATGTTGCCCTAATATAAATATCAATTTGATGGGCTGGATAGAGTTAAGCCACCCTATTCTAAATTTCTTTTTCTTTTTCCTTCTTCTTTCTTCTTCTTGAATTAGAATACAAACATATTGCAAGAACTCTTGGTCTATCTTCTTTCTCAGTAGTAGGTGACTCTTTAACTGTCATAAAATGGTTAAATGATAATCAAGGGGTGATGGAGATCACTTTGAGACCAAAGCACCGCATAGAATTCGTACTTATTTTAGGTGTAGACGGCATTATCTTAGGGTTACTTTGGTTAATGCACAATTTGGGTTTAATTGTAAAATTTCTTCTTAGTAAGGGGGCTATTTGTAATTTTCATGGGGGGGGGGTTAAGTGGAACTTTCATATTTGGTAGGGACTTAATTGTAATTTTTAGTTCTAGGTTTCTTATAAATACACATTATGTTAGGGCTGTATGACATTATGTTTTTGAGAAATAGAAGTCTTAGATATCCTCTTTCAAACTTCCTCTCTTCCTTCTCTTGTCTTCTTTCTTCTTCTAATTTGTTGTAACAGGTGGTGGTTCTGCATCAAGGGGGCCCCTGGGTTTTGAATCATTACTTGATGGAGGTTAGAGACCTAGCTATTCTTTTGAATGTGTCATGTTTTTGGACTGCTTGGGAGCATGATGCTTTTGCAGATAGCTTAGCTAAATCCGCTGTGCACAGAGCTGATTTGTGTAGCAGGAATATTGCCCCTGGATTCTGATTGGGCAAGTTCCCATTGTCTGTATATCCTCTTTTTGTTATATAATATATCATCTTGTTATTCTCCTTGAAAAAAAAATTGAGTAATTTTTGGCGATGATTAGTTCCCATTCTTCTGCAGAACTTCCACATGTCTTTCTAACAAAGATATTAATGCCACTTAAATTGTATGTCCAGATGGAAACCAATGGTTTTTCTTGTTCCAATCCTTTGTTTTCCATGTATGGTTTCTGTTTTTTGTTTTGAGGGACTATATTTGCCTTCCCTTGCTTGTTATTTGCCTCTCAATAGCAAAAGAACTACTTCATACAAGAAAAATATGTAGGGGGAAGACTTGGATTTTCAAATTCAAATTTGAGATTTTAGATATCCCATCAAGATCTGCATTTTTCTCATGAAGGATACTAGGTTGCACATAAATGTGGGTACTTTCTTTTCCCTTCTTTAAGATTAAAAATTGATCAGTTCTTGATTTTCACCTAGAAATTCTCCAAGTGTGTAAATTTTGCAAGTTTCTGGACTTGTATTTTGATTGTTAAAAAGATTAACTGATGAATTGACCAGATTTCTATGATGATAACTCTTTCACATGAGTTTAAAGTGTTATGCTTCTACTTCAAAATGTGGCTACTTTGTTTTGCCTTTTTTGGCATGTCAGTTTGATAGTGGAACTCCATGGTTATTCTCCACTGACTCCCAGGAGTATACATATAGTAGTATAATCTGTCTCTGGAAAAATGACGTGCATTTGCAGGCTACAGAATTATTAGTCTAGTATGAAGTTATCCCAATTTGAATTGACATTATAGAATTCAGATAAAGCAGAGCTATATACAAATACCACACATCACTCCAATATGCTATTTAATATTAGTTTCATTAGATTGTAGGCTCAAAGCAGATGAACAACATTATGGAATCATCCCAACACAACTGACTTGGTTCAGTTCAAAGAAGATACTATCTTAATGTTTTAAAATTGTTGTATGGAAGTTAAATTATTTTGATTCATGTCATTCGTTTTTCTTGTTTATAAGGTTTTTTATTGAGGAAATCCTGTCAATCTTTAGCAAAGGCCTTGAAGGGAAAATTCATGAAAGAATAGGCAATGTCAATACTCTTGAACCATATCTACCACCTTGTGTGTGTGTGCACACACACATGCATGATAGAGTGAAGCTCTATTGATGAATTTGGGTTTAGATGGGTGAAAGCTTACTTTGATGTTCGAGTGATAAGTTATTGTTTGTTATGACCATTTAAAGATTCCACCATTTGTAATTATATGTCAAGGTCTTATTGTTGAGGAAATCCTGTCCATCTTCAGCAAAGGCCTTGAAGGGAAATTCATGAAAGAATAGGCAATGTCAATATTCTCGAACCATATCTACCACCTTTTGTGTGTGTGTGTGTGTGTGTGTGCACACGCACTGAAGGGATGAGAGATCCATCCTATGGACGCCC